CAAATAGGTCGTCACACTACACCTTACGACATTTTGGCAAGCTATTATTTTTAATATGATTGGCTAATATGCAATGACTTGATTCACACAAGCCTGTCACTCTCAACCGTTTCCTAACAACTTTATATATGTACCGTCGGCTACTCGAGTTGACATTAAACATTTATCTTGGTTAATATGTAGCGCTCAGCACAAGTACATGCAACTGCATATTAACCCTAAACCCTACAAACCCTAAACCTTAAATCCTAATCCGTAAACCCTAAACCCTAACCCTAACACAAATTTTATGGATTCTGGACAACGAGAACTCTTTATTTAATTTGTATCTTTTTTACCAGTAATAGGAATTGGTATTTATCCAGATTTTGTTCTCTCCCTATCCTTTGACAGGGTAGAGGCTCTCTTATCCAATTATTATCCTAAATAAGTTTATTTGTTTTACTCATCTGTTCTATTAATGCAGAAATAAGTAAAAAAAAGTATAGTTAGATCTATCTCGAATTTTTCAGAACCCTTTGAGAACCCATATATACGCGCATACACTCATCACTATGAACGCACACACGTACACCCTATCCTTATGAGCACCTCCAAGAGACTGAGTCGGCATATCATCTTGATATTCTATGAAGTCATCGTGGACGTCTCGTAGTCGACGGAAACGTCTCCTCCCACTGAACGTGCATCGCCAAAAATCCGAAAATAAATCCAGGATAAATGCGAGCACTAGAACTTGAACCCTGGTGGGCTGAGGATACCACTGTCAACTTAACCACCATCCAACGATAGGTTAGTTCGCTACGTGTGCATTCTAGACTTCCTCTTCTTCGCTAGTGGTCGAACCCTTTGTTTTTTAGATTATTGTTGACAAAATCTAACGAAAGTACTATCTCGGTCCTGATTTACTAGTCTCCATCATATTTTGGACTAAAATCTAACGGAAGTAATTACTAAACAAATATTAATTTCACGGTAGTGAATAATAACTAGAATTAATTCCATTTTAGCCTCAAATTTCATGTTTGTGACAAATATTACCCCATTTAGTGAAAGTCCTCATTTTATACCCCATTTAAGTAAACTCGTGCCACACTTTACCCCTTTGAGTGTTTCCCCAATTTTTCTGCTGACTTTACCTTATATTTTTCTCTGTTTTTACTGTATCCCACGAACCGATTGCACCGGACTTGGTCCGCGATCACACACCACACATCGACTGGACATGACAAGACCTAGTCGAGCCGCATGGCTCGTCCGCATCTCTCCTGCATCGATGGCCGGGGCTCTGTTGGCGCAGACGAGATATTTGTGCGGCCACCACCTGCTGCAGGACATGGGTCCGGGTGAGAGCTTGTGCCGCTTGTGCTGGGGTGGGCTGTCCCAAGCGGCAAATCGATCGAGTATACTATACACGCCTTCCATGGATGGATCGGCCTGCGTGGAGCAGGTTTTAACGCTCGCGAGCGGCAAATCGGTCGATGCCGGCACCGGTCTTGTGGTTACTGCGGCGAGGTGATGAAGTGCATGCTGCTAGAGGTCGAGGCGTGCGCGTGTGCTCCTGTACAAGGGCATCCGCGACCTCCCGGACACCGTCGTGTCGCGAGAGGCAATGCCATGGCTGCCTCATCTCCCAAATAAATATTTCTAAGTTTATACACGAGTCAGTACAATAAAATCAGTTAGTTAGTATTTCTATGTTTGTAGGCAATGCCATGAATCTATTAATATAAATTGTTGACTAAGTTTATTAAAAAGTCTACCAAATAAATATAATACGAGCGCATATTTTTAATGGGTGTGGCTATATCTCAATCGACTGAGAGTCACCATCAAGTGATAGAACATATAAAAGAGAAGAAATGTTTTACTTTTATTTTTCTACACGGATCTTCGCATAGGATTTGACAAATATAGCATCAACTAAGTCTGAGATTTAGAAATCCATATTTCTAATTGGTCTATTAATATTCAGTCAGTACTATATATAGGTGTTGATGTTTTTTTCTATTCCTACATTAGAAAAAATGATCGACTTGAGTTTATTCAAATTCAGTCGTTCCTGAGTAGTTGTTCATACATACATGACCATATTGGAGTGGGATCAAATACCAACTATAAAAGCCAAGGAGCAGCTTAAGTCCCAGCCACCACAACGCAGAGAATACAACAGCTTCATACTCGGTTAGCACTAGATTTACACTTCGTCAGACATCTGCTAGCTAGCTCGATCATACACGATGCATGCAAACAAGAGTTCTGCGGTACTAAGCAAGAAGGATGCCTGCGGCGAGGAGGACATCACCGTCGACCTGCATCCATTCATCCGCGAATACAAGGGCGGCCGTGTCGAGCGCTTCCTGAGCAGCTCATACGTGGAAGCGTCGGAGGACGCGGCTGCCAACCGTGGCGTCGCGACCAAGGACGTGGTCGTCCACGAGAGCACCGGCGTGTCCGCACGCCTGTTTCTTCCGGCCGCCGCCGCAGCAACCGGCGACAGGCTCCCCGTCATCTTGTACGTGCACGGAGGATCCTTCTGCACGGAGAGCGCATTCTGCCGCACGTACCACAACTACGTCAGGTCTCTGGCGGCTCGCGCCGGGGCGCTCGTCGTGTCCGTGGAGTACCGTCTCGCGCCGGAGCATCCTGTGCCGGCGGCCTACGACGATGCATGGGCGGCGCTCCAGTGGGTGGCGTCCCTATCCGATCCCTGGCTTTCCGACCACGCCGACCTCGGGCGCACGTTCCTCGCCGGCGACAGCGCTGGCGGCAACATCGTCTACAACACGGCCGTGCGTGCTGCTAGAGGTGGTGGCACTGGCGATCACATCGACGTGGAGGGGCTTGTCATCGTGCACCCATACTTTTGGGGCGTCGAGCGGCTGTCCAGCTCCGAGCTAGTCTGGGACGGCGTTGCCATGTTTACGCCGGAGCTCATCGACAGGCTCTGGCCGTTCGTTACGGCGGGCCGTCTCGACAAGAATGATCCCCGGGTCAACCCTCTCGACGAGGAGATCACCTCGCTGACATGCCAGCGTATGCTGGTCGCCGTCGCCGAGAAGGACACCTTGCGCGACCGCGGGCGCTGGCTGGCGGCTCGCATGCGCGAGTGCTGCGCGTGGGCCGATGATGATGAGAAGGCGGTAACACTGGTGGAGTCGGAGGGCGAAGACCATGGCTTCCACCTGTACAACCCACTGCGTGCGACGAGCAAGGTACTCATGGAGAGCATAGTGCAGTTCATCAACCAGCGCACGGCCTTGCCATTGCCGGCCGCTCTGCTGCCGGAGCCGTACGAGCTGCATGCATGCGGTGGCATGAAGATGGACCCATGCTGCTTGCCTATTCTGGGCGTGCCTGCTCGGCCGTACATGGACGTGTTTGGTTATGGGATGGCCATGAAAGGTATGACACGTACTAGTTGCTTACACGTTGGGCAGGGGAGAAGAGCGTCCAAGACCAGATATGGGTTATCTTTGGGCCATGCTGTCAGGCATAACAAGACCAACAAGAGATTCTCCATATTATCAGCTACAGCAGCACCGGCGACTTGTGTTTCTCACAACTTCATCTAGTGCATGAAGCATCATGGTCTACAACTCTACGTGCATCCGGAATTACGGTCGTTGTGCATGCTCCAGTATAAGTGCAACAATAATATTAAAGGGAAGAAATACCGAGACCCCATCCACCACACCACCTGCTTTGGGTCAAATAAATGTATGTTGCCTTCTTCTTCTTCTTAGTTTTTTTTTCTTTTGAGCATGGGATGTATGTTCTTCTTTCTTATAAAACCATTTCCCTCCCTAGCCAGTGTCACGTCCAAGATGGTAGCGGAAAAAGAGTCCTAGGAGCATCCACACATTCATTTTATGTGGTCGCGGTAGAACCGAACGCGCAAATGAATGCCAAAAAAACTCTATCTTTCCCTAAGCGAGTGAGATGGGAGCTGGACCTAAACCAGGTTCCGTACATTGGAGTACAACTCACGTTGTTATGCGCTTCTAAAAAAAAGGAAATGACCGTATTGCAAAATTTATGTCATGTCGTAGTCCTTTTAGAAAATGAGAATTCTACCTACTCGAAATTGCTAATAAAAATGTCAGGTGCAAAATGTAAACACACACTCGTGCAAATGTCACATCTTGGACTTATGATTTGGAAGTGAATGTGATGGATTAATCCCCTTTTCGCACTGCAAATGGTTGTACATGCCGCGTACGGATGGTGAAACATGAACCGAAGTGTTATATTTTCCTGGACAAGTCCAATGGGAAACCATGATCAAAGGAGCACAAAGCCGGTGAGCGCTGACAGCGATCGGACGGCCAAGATGAGGCTTCGGGTTTACCCCTGGCTCCATCGAACCGCCGTGCTCGTCCCTTAGCTCACTTAACCAATCTTGATTGTCCAACACTAACACATGGCGTGTGATCTCTCGATCTCTTCACCAGCCTGGTTCAATCTAATCGTGGCAAGGGGATAAAAAGTAAAAGTTGTTATTCCAAAGCTACAAAGCTAGCATGGTTTGGCTCCATTTAACGTGCTCAGCATCGTACAACCTAGGGAGATATTGAGAAAAACTGAAAGCGGCATAGGTAGATCGACCTCCACTTTGCATCTAATCAAGCGGTTAAACAAAGGCGATGTGATGCGGCCAGCTAGAACTGATTCATGGATCTTCTTTTTTATCCGGGGGATGAATCTGACAGTTAGTGTACTAGCTAGTTAGTGTACATGCTGGGGTCGAGGAGGCGCGGCAGTTCGCGCCAGCGCACGCGGCGACGTCTTGGCCGGCTCAATCGCAGACTAATCCCAATCGCCTCGCCAAACAAGCAAACGAACGGAATCAATCGCATGAATGAAAGCCGGACGAATTGGTGCCACGCGCAGCATATCCGCGTACGTTTTCTCTCTCATCAATCTTCTGCCCCGTCGTCTTCCTCACCGGTGATCTCCTGGAACACACCAAGATCGGATCGAGGGACCCTTCTTCCACAATTCCGGCCGTGCTCCAATTTCACTATCTCAATCCCCCGCCATCTTTTGTCTTTTCTTCAACTTCCCATATCTAATCTTCCGGGACCCAAGCATGAAGCAGGACTGTGGTTTGCTCTCTCATCTCTCTTTTTCTATGTTCGAGGACGGAGGTGCTCCGCGTCAGCCATGCTCTGGATCAGGACACCGGCGGGGATGAGCACAAGCCGCTTGGGCGGAGAAACAGAGCAGATGGCGGGCTGTTAGTACCTACTGAATATCAAGTGAAGCCACACGTTGAGACAGGCTGCTAGTACCTGTTGAATATCAGGTGAAGCCTGATCCAAGTCTACACTAAACTAAAAACCTTCTATGATTCAATCTCTTACCGTTTTGAACAAGAGCCTCCTCACAACGGCCGCCTCTTGCCGTCGCCCGGCGTCCAAAATCCTAAGTCGCACGGGCACCCCGCACGCGGATGAATAGCCGTTTCTTGTATATATAGAGATGTCGGCATATGATGGAGAGAACAAGGAGGGGGTAGCTGTGTGATCCACGACCATTCACAAGGCCGTGTTGTGGATCAGTGAGAGAACTGTTTTTCCTCCATCAAAATCGTGCTCGCCTTGATATTATTTAACCCTCACGGAAGAAAAAGACAATAGTACCAACAGCCTGTGCATGTGAATCTTATTCTTTCGAGAACCAACAACCAAGATTTAAATGCTGCACGCAGGGCTCGAAACAACCCAAACAATTCAATCGAGCGAGCCGCTCAAAACGGGACTTATATAACAGAAATATGAAGATTTTCTGAACCAGAAATGAGAGAATAGTGACAAAGTGGAGCAACTTGTTTGCAGATCATTATTGTGCCAAGTTAGTTCAGGATCACTTGCTTTCACAATGGCATGTATGGAAAATGTTGCTCCGCTCTCTAGCAAACTTTCCATGTCAACTCTGCTATCTTTGAGGATTTCTAGCATCACGCATTGGAACATGTCATCTTTCTACTGTTCAAGCCTTTTGATGTTTATGGGCATGGGCAGTATCTTTTCTCTTATTTTCACAAGAATCACAAGCAAGTTTATATCCTAGCTAGAGTTTCCAAGCAAGTGTATACGCTAACTAGGTTTACAACAAATTCACTCCCCAAAAATGATTATGTGATCAACAATAGTTTAATTGTTTGATTGCATCTTCCAAAGAAACATGGCAGGCAATAATTTAATTCCGATCAACCTATACATACATACATACATACATTCGTTGGTCATCAATCAGATTTATCCCCATCTCCATAACAAATATATAATTAAATGAAAAACAACAACTCTCCAAAAAAACATATCAGAAAATTTTGCCAAACAAACAATCAAAAGACAACCACACTACTTCTGTTTCCAATACAAGTATTGTGTGTGCACAAGATTACAGGGAAGACTCGCCACAGTTGATCCACACACTGGTACAAAACATCACATTCTGCGGCAACCCAAAACAACAAGCTCGGATATACAGCGTTTACACTGGAAAACATACGAGGGAACCCACCCGACTTCCCATACAACTACAAGCTCCATCTATCAATATTATCATCCCGCCCTCCACAAGATAAAAAAAGACCTTCCTAGGTGCCCACCATCTCCAGCATCGATCTCTTCACCATAGAGAGAGAAAGAGAGATAACAATATTTGTTCCACAACAATTGCTGGAAAAACTAAAAGGTAGCCATACAGCCACAAGATAGCACATTCTTCTGGCAACTATATACATACATGTCTTTTTTTTTCAGGGAAACAATAGGGTCCTAAACTTTATAATGCATACGAATAAATGTTATATACATGAGTTGCAGATGGCTTGAGCTAAGCCAAGAATGTTCATCATCGAAATCAATCTGCAGTCATACTTGATCAAGTCCAAAAGCACAGATCTATATCATTGGTAGCACAAGATTTCTACAACTGAGCAGATCCTTAGATGACATTCTGGCAGCTCAAATACATATGTGTTTTCTACTCCTAAGTCATTACAGATCAAATGATTACATATCAGTTCAAGTACGATGACTCAATTTGCAATCGTACTGGATCTAGTCCACATCATGGTAACACAAGATATTGTAACCCAAAATCCTTGACTGGTGATTATGCTAACAGCGCCAAGAGAAGTGGCCAAAATTGCTGGCGCGAATGCATAAGCTACGATTTGCAACTTCCCCAATAACCAATGCACAATCATCTAGTAATGTCGACAGTACAAAAAAGGGTACCTAGAGAAATAAATAGAGCATAGAGAAGGATGCTTACTTGTTATCATGCCAAGTAATCAAAGGGGCTCTTATAATAAGCACGCCAACCCCTGCGCTGACACAGAGCGTTAGTACAGTTTTTCTTAGGATAGAAACAAGAATGTTCAAAACTGATTCAATTTTAGCAATAGACCCACTTGTGGCCATGCAGTCAAAAGAAAGAAATAACTAGCATTGGCACTAGCCTCTCTGCACTAGCATTGACAAAGAACAACAAAATAAAAGGGGGCAGGAAAAGATTCAAAGATCTTTCTATGTACAAAGCCCGGTGGTTACTGCTTTACTTCTGACCCAAGAACCACTACCTAGGCACAACACAACTAGAGATGCCAACTAGTCTAGCACCAGTGTCCTAAATGGCTATTTATCATCAAGTATCTACAAAACTTGAGCTTCTTCCATCCAGGCCATCATCAATCATCAGCAGTACCACTAGCACAACAAGTACATTTATGTTACACTCACCAAGAGGTCAGAGCTCCAGGTGCTACTCGTAATAGATCTCTGAGGCACGGCGATAGGATCTCCTCCTCTAGCATCTTGACTCCAGGTATCGTGCCGCGCAGCAGAGTGCTCGACAAGTCCCTGCATTGATTCAACCTGCCATCAGACTGACATACAACTGGAGTGAAATGGAAAACACACTGAAAGAGGATGATCTGAAGAACCTACAAGATTGTGAGGTGCTCACAGACCTTCCGAGGGATGCCGCCTAGCAGGTAGATGCATTCTCCTCTCCTCTCCTGTAATAATGTTCAAAGAACTGAGTCAGGTGTCTCTCTAATCAAAACCGATATATCTCTCAGGACGCACTTTGCACCTTGAGCCAGCCAAACTACACATCTGGATTCAAGAGAGATTTTTAAGAACATCATCATGCAAGATGCAGGAGAGATTTTTATTTGATATTTGAAGAGAGCACCCAATAAGTAAAGTGAAACAACTTCATTTTCTACACCAATCTATGCATGCCTTAAAAAATCAGTTTTTTCTCATTAAATTCAACAAGACAATGATGTAGGAAATACACAACCAAACCTTCAACTTTATCTATACAAGACAACCAAAATGGATAAAACACAACCAAAGACCAAACATGATGCTAGCTAGCACAGAACTACAAGAGACCAATTTCATTGAAAAGAAAGATCAACACAACCACATAATTGTGGTGGAAAGAAGACCACTACCAAGATCCGAACACTAAATAATCGGCACGACAACCACCGATAGCTCGATGAACAGCATAATTATGTCTTGTTACTTATTCATCAAAAAGAGAC